CTACCTAAACCATTATCAAGACTTACTCAGACATTCTGTTTTTGTCCTATACTTCCTACTTTCTAAACAGACAGTCATTTTACTCTAGGACAAAAATACACTGTACTAGATGCTTTCTTACATAAAAATTATTATTATTATTATTATTTTCCTCTCTAGCACCTCCAACCATAACCATATCCCCACATCTATAGCCTTTTTAAAATTACCTCATTTTTACATATTTGTTTCTTTATTATCAATGTTAAATTGGCCTAATTTGCCTAAAAATTATACATAGAGAAAGGTTTTTCTGGTTTTCGCTGGGTTTTTAATTAAAAGCCTCTAGTAAAGACAAATATAATCTTGTTTGATTAGTAAACCCAGGCAAAGATGTACACTGATAAAAACATTTTTATATATTCAGGCTAGTAAATGCGGGTCCATTTGTCAGCAGATTATACAAAGCCCAGTTTGAGTCTCAGCTATTTTTACCAAATAAGTATTTACGGTTTTTCCAGCCCCCAAAATTGGTTTGTTAAGTAGTTTCAAAGGTCTCTAACAAAGGTTAAAGTTATGAGGTAGCAATCTTGAGTTTCCATGAGTTATAGAAAATACCTTCTATTATCTGTTATTAATATTATAGGAAAATTTTAAGAAGGAAACCAAATTTTACTTTTTATACCAGTGCACTGTTAATATTACAACTAATTTTAATAAAAACTTATAAACAAATCTAAGCTCTGAATTTTGATCACATAAGATTATCATAAACTTTTTATTAGTTTTTATAAACCCTTTATTTTTAATTTAGACAAAAAAATTTTTTTTAACAAAAACCATATTACCTTTGTTTTTAACAACGTTTACTAAAATGTATCTTTATAAAAAACATTCTGTTAAAAAGTCTTTATACCTAGTAGTTTGAATTATGCATACTGACTATAATTGACTCATTAGTTCCAACTTTCCAGTAACAAACCTGTGAAGCAAGCAATTTTGAATTGTTTTATATTAATATTTGTAGATAAAAAACTATTTCTAACTTCTGAAGAGACGTGTTTTTAATTTTAACAGATTCAAATATTTGTGGTTTTCTGTTTCATATAAAAACAAAACATTAAAATATAAACATAAACTTATATAATAATTAATGTTTTAGTATTTTATTAATACAACACTTTAAGATTTCTTTTTTTTTTTTTTTTAAAAGATGACCGGTAAGGGGATCTTAACCCTTGACTCGGTGTTGTCAGCACCACGCTCACCCAGTGAGCAAACCGGCCATCCCTATATAGGATCCGAACCCGTGGCCTTGGTGTTGTCAGCACCGCACTCTCCCGAGTGAGCCACGGGGCCGGTCCAACAACACTTTAAGATTTCAAATTCCTGAGAAGCAATTTGAAATTATGATTTTATTTATAAGCATTTAACCCATTTATATTTGTCTAATTTTTACATCAAGCTACACATTTATTAATATAGGTTTTGTTTACAATGTTAATGAGACAGATAAAATAGAAAACTTACTAGTTCAAAAAGGACAGTTGATTTTAAATTGCATTTCTGAAAAATGCCAAAGCTTATCTTTTTTAGAAAAAGCAAGGTAACAAATTTACATTGCAAAGCAAAGTACGTGGGACTTCTCAAGGAAACAAATTTACATTACAAGGCAAGTATGCAAGCCTTTTCAAAGAAATGCAGAGAACATTTTCTTTTCTAGCCAGATCAAATGGAGCAAATCTTCCCAAATATTTTGCTGTAATTTAGCTGGGCACTTGATTTGTTGCACGTTGGCATTGTCTTCTCCCAGTGATCTTAAGGCCAAAGGCACAATTTGGATCTTGTGACCCCTAAGTAGTAGCTTGAAAAGCAGGCAGAAATAGTTGCCATATATACAGACAAAACACTCATGCATATGCACACACATACATCCCAAAGAGACGTCTCCACCAAATTAGTTGGTTTCAGTTGTGACTTGTCATACTCCACACCTATGGTACCAATCAATGGCATGGAATACAGGGCATCTATGTTGTGCATGCCAGCAGGATTGGAGGGCTTATTCAGATCACTGGTACTCAACTAAATGTCTAACCAAGTAAACAAAGAGAAAAGAGGAGCAGTGGGGTCATCCAGTTCAGCTTAGTCCCAATCAGCAGGGCCAATTTATTCCATTAACAGTAATTGATAAAAGCAGTTCTCCCCACTGTTTTCAGCATAAAGAAGAAAAGTACCAACCAGATTTAAATCAGAAAAGCAAAGCCTAGCCAGGAGCCCTCCAGGGTGCACTTAAACAGAAGTGGATACAATCCAACCTAATAGAAGTGGGCTCAGAAAATCAGAGAAAGATAAGAGAATAAAGCATTTCCTTATCAGAATTTAGGCCAGGGACTCCAGGAGAGATATAGCAGCAGCAGAGACATGGGAGCAAAATAGTCCCAGTGGCCACATGCCTCTTGCAGCTGGGGTCCTCTCTGGTGCCCAAAGCTTTCCAATTTTTTGCCAGTAATTAAATTAGGCTTTCAGATTCCAGTGTCATAGAAAGATATAACTAACACAATAAAGGTCAGAGACACAGGATGGCAGATACTTATCATGCCTCAGTGTTACGTTACATATGACCACAGTTAAAGACATACAAAGCTACAAAACGTATATGCACACCCAGCAGCACACAAAAGACAAAGACAAGTGGCCACAACAAATTTCCAAACCATTCCAAACCAAAGTACCCAATTATGTCTCGTGGGACTCCTGGACTTGGGAAGTAGTGCTGCATCCAGCCTTCCACAAAGTCCCTAAATCAGAGCTCTGATACCCAAATGCAAAAGAAGACTCACAACAACATAAACTCACGAGGTTAATATAAAGACAAACACAAAGACAATACACAAGGTTGGCCACCAAGGGAGGCCACCAAGTGGACTGCAGCGACGTCTAGCTGGGTCCGGGGAAGAGGCGGTGCAACTGCGTCCAGTCTGGCCTGGTCCCCCACCAAAAAGAGTCAACTCACCCAAATCTAGAGGCGCCAGAAAATCCTAAGCTGGCCAGCAGAAGATCGTGTGCCTCCGGGACTGAGAAACATCTTCTCAGGAGCTCCCCGCTAGAGACTTCGCAGTGTGGAGAAAAATCCCAGCACTGTAGGTTGGTCCCCAAGGGTGATAGTGATCCTGAATGAGCCCCCAAATGTTATAGGCATCGTGAGAAAATAACCCGTGGAGACTGATATATAAAAAAGAGAAAAAGATTTTTATTTCCAGCAGCCGGGACCGCACCAGCCAATTCAAGGTGTGGCCCCAAACCATCTTTGTTCTCGGTTTTTAAAGCTGCAAGCGCGGCAACCGCCCGATCACCGTGCCAAGAGGTATTAGCCACTGCAAGCAAGCCAACAGTACATGAGCTAATTTTGCAGTTAGCAGAGCTCCTCCCGTCCCACACCCACTTTCCTGCCTAACTTTCACACAATGGAGGGGCTATTTTAAGTGGCGTCGGTCCTGCTCTTAGAAAAGAGGGCATTACTGGGCCGGCCGGTGGCGCACTGCTACAGTGCGCCGCTTGGGAAGCGCGGCGGCGCTCCCGCCAAGGGTTCGGATCCCACATACAGACCGGCCGCTCACTGGCTGAGCGAGGAGCGGGGGCAACACCGACGGTTGCGATCCCATAGCCGTCCCGGTCCGTTACGGGCGCAACACTGAGGGTTGCGATCCATTGCTGGTCACGAAAAGAGACAAAAAAAAAAAAAAGAAAAGAAAAGAGGGCATTACTTCAAAAGCACCCTTTGCTTTTCCTTGGCAGCTCTTAAAACAAACGTGGTTAAATAGTTACTTTTATGATTATTTGTTCAATCTCCATCTAGGCCACATGGTCTTTGGGGGCTAGAATTGTATCAAAAATGTTCCTGTTGTATCTCTAGTGTCTACCAGTGTCTACCACTTAGTGAGTATTGACTTTACACTATACTTATATTGAACACACAGATATATTTCCTGCTCCCCCCAGATTTCAAAATCAGATTCCTATGGTGATCATGCATCAGAGTTATTTTATTCCACTATGAGCCACCTTACCAGTATTCTTACTTTTACCGAAGGCTCGGCTTGCCTTCTTGCACTAAACAAATGACTTGAAAGTCCAAAAGTTGATGCAGGGATTGGAAGGTTTATTCAGATAACTGGCATCTGAGGGATGACAAGGCTAAAACTATCCCGCCTTCTGATTCCTGTTCTGGAGTTTATAAAGGGAAAGAGGTGAGAAGGTGAGGTAAGGGTTTTGTCCTGCAGGCAAAAGGGGGAGGGTGGTCATGGGATCAGTAGAGGGTCTGAGTCAGATGTCAGGATCCCATGATGGACCACGTGCTTTGGCGTCATGGAGTTTGCAGTTAGCAGACTGATCAGCCTCAAGCTCTTGATGTTATTTCGGGGTTAGAGTCCTTATCTCCTCAAGAGAGCTCAAAAACAACTTCGGTCAACCATCATTGGAACATAAATTACCTGACTCGTACCTCTAACTAATGTGGATGCAATTTTCCTTTAAGCAAAAAGGTGAGTTAACGATCAGCTAGGGTGTTTTGCCTCTCTCTTGGATTTCCTCCAATTGCAATTGATTAGGGAGGGAAGAAAAATAAGAAAACTTAGTTTCAGTCCTTAATTTTAGGTGTGCAACATCTAAAGTAAATCAACGTTAAGAGAGTGTAATGAGAGATAAACACAAATAAACTTCTGAGAAGGATCCTTTAGGGGGCATGATTTCATCTCCGGGCAGTTTCAGCCATGTGGTCAGTTTCTCGTTTCCTCTGCTAACCCCAAGGAATTGATGATTATCAGTTCCCAAGTTAATGGCTAACTGAAATTTTCTGCTTGGTCTTAGTTACCCCAAAGATGGCTATTCTCTGGCTAAGGTCCCTTTTCTTTACTTCTTAACCCTGAGAAGGCTCTGTTCCATTTCTTGCGATGTCCCTACAACCCTGAATTTAATTTTCATGGTGGTTATGTGATTATTTGTGTATTGCTTTTGTTAAGGTTATCAACATGGATTATGGAATGGAGGATAAGAATCCAATTGATTATCTTCACTTCTATAGTAAGAATGAACCCAGCAAAGCTATCAGGATTTCTAAAGATCAGGTAAGTACTAACTGGCATATGGCAAATCTTTATAATAAATCTGCATTTGCATGTAGGTTAGGTGTTGTTCTTTGTTTGGGAAGGCTGGCCAGTAAGCAGATGCTAAACAGGTTAGGTTTGGGGGGTTTTTTGTTTTGTTTTGTTTTGTTTTTTGTTGGGCTGGCCAGTACAGGGATCAACAAAGCAGGTTATGTTTTTAAGTCAGCATGTATGGTTTTTTAAAAAATAGGGCATACCTTTAAAATTAAACTATATCTGATTTTGCGTGGACCAGACCATCTTAACAGCCAGTTTTTTCTGTTTGTTAAACATTGATGAAAGTGTGGTTTTTGGTTTATAGGTTAGGTTACAAATCTGGTTGCGCAAAAGGGTGCTATATGGTTCAAGTCATGTAGTTAAATGGGCTTATTTGTATATCTTTTCTATGTGAGTCTGTGGTCTTTGTGTAGTTATTTAATGTAAACCTTTAGTCTTTTGTTAATTGACATAAATTGTGGGACATTTTGCATGTGACAATTACCTTGAATTTTCTTTCTTGGGATTATAATTGGATATAAAATAGTAAAGCAGTGTGGTGCTTTCAATTCAACAAGAATGGCCCTTAGTAGCCTGGGAAACAGCTGATATTTCCCTAATATGTGAATTCCAGGTGACAATGAAATCTTTCCTTTTTAAAAAAGGTTTCACAGCTTCTGCCAGAGAGATTTGCAGAGCAGGTGATTCGAGTATATTGTAAGAAGACTGATGAAAAGAGTTTCCTTGCTGCACAACAACATTTTGTTGATTGGTCCATCACCAAAAACTTCATCAAGCCACAGGTGGGTGGACTATTATTCACATACTTTGTGTAATTTTTAATTTTTTTTTTCCTTTTTGTCTTTTTTCGTGACCGGCAACGGGATCGCAACCCTCGGTGTCGTGCCCACACCGCTCTCAACCAGTGAGCAGACAGGTCTCTATATGGGATCCGAACCCTCAGCGGGAGCGCCACCGCACTGCGCTCCCAAGCGTCGCACTCTACCAAGTGCGCCACCAGGCCGGCCCTAATTTTTAATTTTTAAGTAAAAGCCAAGAGGGATCCTTTCTACCCGCTGAAAAGTTATCATTTAAGTTATAGTCATTTGGTTATGGTTTTGAAAATAAAGTCTTTCACTTTCTTTTTAAAATGTCTGAATCTGGGGGGCCGGCCCGGTGGCGCACTGCTACAGTGCGCCGCTTGGGAGTGCGGCGGCGCTCCCGCCAAGGGCTCGTATCCCACATACAGACCGGCCGCTCACTGGCTGAGCGAGATGCGGGCGCAACACCGAGGGTTGCGATCCCGTTGCCGGTCCCGGTCCGGTACGGGCGCAACACTGAGGGTTGCGATCCTTTGCTGGTCACGAAAAAAGACAAAAAGGAAAAAAAAAAAATGTCTGAATCTATGTCAACCAGTAATTTCTTCCTACATGAGTTGGGAATGAATACTCTGTTTATCATTATTATCCTAATAATGAAAGATAAGAATGGTGAGCATGTGAATAGTGCTTTATAATATTCTCACCAGTTGTCTCATTCAGTCCTCCCATGACCCTAGGAGGTGAGTCATAGTGTTTGCATCTTTCAGAGTAGGTTACCAAAGCCAAGTAGTTAACTTGTTTAATGTACAGCTGATAAGTTTGAAATAACTAGTTAAAAAACATAGTATTCCCAAACCTGATTACTTTGGTATATTAGTAAACTATTTAAATTCTCTAGGATGAGAGTCGAGGGAAGAGAAGCCAAGCTGCAGTTGCCAGCCCCGTAGAGAAATATTGTTAGAACTGTTACCAAGACCCCAAAGGTCCATTTGCTTGCTGCTCAATAGCCAGTAATTGACAGACAAGAGTTGGTGTAAGGAAAAGTAGCCTTTAATCAGGTAGCTGGCAGCCTGCGGAAATGGTGGGCTTATGTCTCAAAGACCATCTCTGCCTCTCCCAGGTTTGCCAAAGGGTTTTATGGGGATCTGTGGTGGAAAGTTGATTCATGGTGACCAAGCAGGGACATGTAGACATGCTTGAGTGTTTCAGATGATCGTCAAAGAACTTTCCAGGTGGGAATTGACCAGTGTCATACTTCATTCTCCATGGGTTCAGTTCCTGTTATCCTCAGATAAGATCTAGTTAGTAAGCTAGTAAGGAATGGCCATCTGGGTTAATAATTTTCCCTCTAATTATTTGTATACAATGTGAGAGCAAGAGTCATTGTGTTCTGGCAGTTAGCTGCAGGGTATGTGATTGGGTTATAGGAGAGAACAACTTTTTATAAAGTCAAAGGCTTAACAAAATGGAGTCACTTCTGTTAAGGCTGTTACAAAACTGTCTCTTATTGACCTACACGTAGCAGGTGCCTGGCACAGAGAAAGTGGCCAATTGGTGTTTGTTGATTGAATGAGCAACTATAGTTGGCAGGCAGATGGGAAACAGCTCTCTACTTCCTGGTCTAGTGCTCTCCCTCCACACACCACAGTTGCCTTTTCCTCCTATGCGTCAGGTGCTGGAGGGAACAAAGCGAAGGGTCAGACATGAAAGAGTAGCTCAGTAAGTCAGTACTTTATCATGCGAGAAGGCGTGACACAAGTAAGTTCTCTTAGGATTCAGAGAGGTGGGAGGCTGTGGGAAAATCCTTGTGGAGGACAGAGGAGCTACCAGATACAGAGGCTGGATTGTGTTTGGCCTAGTAGCTGGGAGAACGATGGATGTACTTGACAATGGGAACAGCACAAACAAAGGCATGGGACTGGAACAAGTTGAGTGTGGGGGGACCATGAAGAGACCTGTCTGACCCGAGCAGAAAGTTCTTACTGTTGTGTGGTAAGAGGTTAAATGGAATTAGATTATGGATAAACTTGGACAATTGGCTAAGATAATTTTTTCCTTAAAAAAAAATTATCAGTGGGGGAGGAATCATTGAAAATATTGAAGACTGACTGTACTGTTATTATTTACTTGGGTGTTTATCTCCAGCTAGACTGAAACACATGGGAATAGGGAAGTATGTCTGTCTTAAGTAGCACCTAAGAAAACTGAACCCCTGAAAACTCTAGCAGCAGATAGACTGGAACCTGGAGGGGCTGGAAACAGAGACAAGAAGCCATCCAGCTGTGTGACGATAACTACCTTGAATCTGGGTACGTTCACTCACCAAGTGAGTATTTTTGCCAGGCCCTGTGTTAGGTACCGAGGATAGAACAGTACTTAAGACATGGTTCCTTCTTCCCATGGATCTCTCTCTGGTTAGGGATAACAAACATGCAAGTAAATAACATTTACAGTAGCATGCTAAGAGCTTTGGGGTGGGCTGGGTCCAGAGTCTTAGAGGAGCAGAAAGGAGGAGGATTTAGCCTGGTCTAGTTGGTCAAGCAGGGCTTATTTAAAGAAAGGCTTAGAAGCTGAGACCTGAAGGTTGAGTGAGAAGGAGTCAGCTGGGTAAAGGGCTAGCAGCAGTGAGATGGTTTTGGGGGAGGGTTGAGGCAGAGGCCTCATAGGGGTGGATCAGAAGATGAGTGAGAATATGGTACATTTCAGGAGGGAGCATGAGTGTGAGGGGTCTGCAGAGTCCTATAGGACTAGGGCCATGGGGAACTATTGAAGGGTTTTAAGCAGGAAGGCGATATATTTAAGTTTGCATGTATAAAATTCACTAGAGTTTAAATTGAAATGGGTAGAAATAAGGAAATTAGGTAGAAGTAGAGATGAGTTTGAAGACAAATAATGCTGACTTTGAGTGGACGGGTCTTCAAGTGTGAGTATCATGGCAATTGAATGGCTGCTTTTCAGAGTTCTATCACGTCAGATCCAGTGTAGTTTAGCAGAAGAAATGTAACACAGGGGATGAGATACAAAAGTTCTGGCAGAGCAACATGAGCAGAGGACAGTAAGACAACAGCAAGAAGCTGCTACCACCAGAAGGGCAGGAGAGACCAAAGGAGCAGGTAGGAGTCCAGGAGCTTGGGCCACCACAGAAGAATCACAGCCACTGCTGCGTGTGCCAGAGGGCATAGGGAGAGAAGTAACCTGGCTTCTCTGCCCTCTTCCCACCTCCAGTCTCCACCAGAGCCTCCCATTGGCCAAACCTAACTGGAAGCACAGAAGCTGAGAAATGTTCACAAGAACAGCTCCTATGATAGAGTACAGCAGGGGAAGGGTAAAGAATGGATCTAAGAGCAAATAGGCAAATGAGGAGCACAGGTCCTGCCAATAACATTGTGTCCTAGTATAGTAAAGGCTCTCAAACATCCTATACCCTCATATAACCAGAGAGAATCTATCCACAAGACCAAGAATGGTTTAGGATAGGGGCAGGGGTCCGAGGGCCTTGCTTCTTACACTGATTTCAGGTCATAGCGTCACTTCACTTTGAATCTATCCCTAATTTTGGGTGGAGGAACTCATTTGGCTGGAGCCCATGCCGATGAGGCCAAAGTTATAGCTTGGACTGCAGAGAAGAACTCAAGTTCTGCAGGTACCCACTATCCTTCCTGCCCCGCCCCCCCTTTTTGCCATTGTTGTAGACCTGAGTGATTTATTGCAGAGAGGTCCATTTCACCCCCTCTTTCTCCTGGAAAAACAGGACAGAGTTTGCATTCCATGAAGGTGTATGAAGGAGGAGGTCATAGACCTGGGCTGTAGTGGACGGCTCCCAGCCACCTCTGAAAAGAAGAGATCTGGTGGCTTTTTTCTTTTCTTTTTTTTTTTTTTTGACCAGTAAGGGGATCGCAACCCTCGGCATGGTGTGGTCCACACCACGCTCAGCCAGTGAGCGCACCGGCCATCTCTATATAGGATCCGAACCCGCGGCCTCAGCGCTATCAGCGCCACGCTCTTCCAAGTAAGCCACGGGGCCAGCCCCTGGTGGCTTTTTTCACAAAGGCTCTTACTTGCCTAGGACTGTGGTATTTCTAATTTGACCCAAGTACAGGGAATACTTAATTTGGAGTATTCCAAGAGTAAGTATATCTAGAAGCAGTCTATCTGCAAGATAAGGATATGTGTACCTGAGACTTTCACTCAGAACTAAAATGATGAAAACTGGCTTTTCTATTTTCTCTGTTTTCTCTCTCTTGCTTATAGGATGAAGTAACACCTCAAAAATCGGAATTTAGATGCACCATTTCAGCCCAAAGTCCAGCTCATACCCGAGAAGCATTCAAAGCCAGAGTCCAGCTTTATAAGGATGGTTCAGTGTGAATGTCTGCAATTGGTTGTTTACAAAACAAAAGCCATTTCCCAACACAATTAATTTAGGGACTTCCATCATAGAGTTCCACACATTTAGTGATAACTAGTGCTTTTTATTTTGTATTTTGAATGTGCACACATGCTGAAGCTAAGTAATTTTTATTCAAAGAAAGATGATAGACTAGTCTTGCTATAAATGCTATGAAAAGCATTACCTGCCCATTTTTAATATTAATTAAAGCCTTTCTCCTTTAGTAGTCTATTTTCTTAGAATAACAATTCTTTTATCTGGTCTGAACTCTTATGAGAGATGTTTGTCTTCTGTTTTTAATTTAGAAATGAGACAAGAGTACATATTGGAATTAGAAGTTAGAATTGTCATGGACAGACATGGTTAAAAAACAAAACAGGGGCTAGCCAGTTAGCTCAGTTGGTTACACATTGGTACTAACACCAAGGTGCACAATTAGATACCTGTACCAGCCGGCCATCAAAACAACAATGAAAAACATTATGAAAAACAAAACATAAAATCCTAACCCCATGAGGAGGTACCCATCACCCCAAGTTTCAGGATAGCCCTCCTCAAGTGATCTAAACATACACGAAAGACCCCTCCCCTCACCCTTTCTAGCCCCTGTAAGCCGCCAGGCTGTGGTAAACAGTAGGAGACAAGGGCCAGATGAGAGGCCTGATTAAGTTATTTGAGAAGATCTGGGGGATGCCTCTTAAGTGGAGGATAAAACCACCTTTTAGGAGACCCTTTCTCCACAGTAGCAGAGAGATCTCTTAAACCCTCAGGCTGTTCTCTGAGTCAGTTGCAGCTCCAGACCTAGGCAGTTTCTTTTTTCTCCTGAATACTCACTGCCCCAGTCCCAAGGTCCTCACCACTGCCAGCCTGGAGAAGTTCTACCCTCTGACTTGTTCTCCGAGTCTCCCTGATGAGCGGGTCAGAGGTCATTACAGAACCTTCCTCAGGGCTACTGAGACCTGGGACTTTGTTTTTGCTGGTTCAGTGCACTTTATGGATTTCAGAGCAAAGACTGGACTGCCTGTGCTGAAACTAGTGATTGCCCAGTGGATTCCAGTTTACTCCTTGTAACTTTATTTTCCTAGCAGTGGAGTGGGCACCACTGTAGTTGAGCAGTGTGTCACCCCACCCCCACGCCAAGTTCTTCAGAAATTCACCAAGAACAAAGTCTGGAGCTAGAGCCAAAGCTAGTGGTGGTCTGAGGGCAGTGGTGGTGGGAGCCATGAGTCCCTAACATCTTATACTTTGACACTCCCTTGACAGTAGCTCCCTGGCAGACTGGAAGTGAGGTGGCAGCCCTAGCTGTAGGGGAAACTCAAGACCACAGGCCAGCAGATTACCCATGCGGTCTTAGGAGTGCTGCCTCTTTCCTCTGTATAGCCAGGTCTGTTCCGTCCACATGAGTGAAGAATATTTGGAATGTCTGCCACCTTATGTTATCATCCCCACCCTTCGTCCCTCAGAAGACAATCAAGGGTCTACTATATTCATAGGAGAATAGTTAAAACCTTTCTCCTCTCACTCCCACCGTGATGCTATATGTGTAGGGATGTGTTCACATGTGGACTCGGAAGCACATGTGAGGTCAGCCACAGCACTGGGTCACATCTGTTTTAGACAAGATGCCTCTAAAACACAAGGGAGAGAAGTGTAGGTTTCAGACTTCATGTGCCTAGATCCAAGGTCAAGAATGTAATATTTTTCTTTTTTTTTTTTTGTCTTTTGTCTTTTTCTGTGTCCGGCAACGGATCGCAACCCTCAGTGTTGCCCCCGTACCGGACCGGGGACCGGCAACGGGATTGCAACCCTTGGTGTTGCTCCCGCACCTCGCTCAGCCAGTGAGCGGGAACCGGTCTGTATGTGGGATCCGAACCCTCGGGCGGGAGCGCCGCCGCGCTTCCCAAGCGGCGCACTATCCAGTGCGCCACCGGGCCGGCCCAAGAATGTAATATTTTTCTGCTAAAACTTTTAATTTCTGCAAATCTGTAAGTCAGTGTGGTTTGCTGTGGAGTTTTGTAGTCCTAATATTGTATCATTGTGCTGTCTGAGAAACAACTTGAATCTATTTTGTTTTTGTCTTTTGTTACAGATAAGGCAGCTACACCTTATACTTTTTGCAACTGTTTTAATTATGAGAAGTATGTGCCCTTTACGAGGTTAATTTTTCTTAAAAAACATCTTCACTATTTGTACAAAACCAGATTTTAACAGCTGAGCTGCTAGAGTCACTGAACATTGTCACCTTGAGAATGTAAATAGAACTGCAAGTTAAAATGACTCGTTACTTCAGTTGCTGAATTGCTGCAATAAAGCTTCGTGACTGTGTCTCCACCTTGAAACCAAAGATGTGCTCCTTAACTTCTTCCTCACTGTTGTGTGCCCAGTTTTGACCCTTTTGTGCAAAGGAAATGTGTTTTGTGTAAGAATCCGCCCAGGTGTTTCTTGGTACCTCAACACTATGGTGGGTCTGCTAGAGGGGATGGTAATTAACAGAGTCCATGGTATCTGGTTTTCCTCATTCGGTAGCTGGTGAGTAATTGCATAATAAAGAATCTTTTCCTTCTGGCATGAGGCAGGGACTAGCATGGGAAGCAATATGGGTTTTCTTAGTTTTCTTAGTTTTCTAAGCTCCTATTCCAGAAAACATACTCCTTCCTCTCTTTTAACCTCCCTGAGGTTCCTATCTACAAAGGTTTCAACTTCTTTATCCAAATATTCATATTGTTCATTTGCTGCTTTCATATCTTCCTCAGGAAATTGAAAAACAGATTTGTAAGCATCTAGCACACTGGTGGCAGATAAGCCCTCAGTGTTCTAGAACAGGCAACAGGGCAAGAGAAGGAATGATGCTACCACACCCTTGACCTTGGTATTATAACACCACACTCCAGTCAAATAAGCTAGCCGGCCAGTCCCCCAGTTTTAATTTTTTTTAATGTCTGCTGGGTTTTCTACAATAAACATGTATTAGTTGTAGAATTCTAAAAAGATAATTTTCAGGAGGGACTTTATGCTGCTTGGGTAAGATGTAAGTATCTTTCACTCCTTTGCAGTCACCATTACAATAGAGCAGTGCCTGCCCCCATCCCTGTCTTGGGTCTCCAAGTGACAAGGAGGCTGGCCAACAGCCACAGTCAACACTAGGGCACTTCACCATCCGTGTCTTTAAGACAGAATGGGCTGCCCTGAGTGAGGAAGGCCTGGACGGCATCCATGAGCAGGTCTGAGTACCTGTTGCCACAGGAGGCTGCCCACCACAAGGGTGTCAGCTCAGAACCCAGGCCTCCAGCTCCTTGATGCAGAACTGCTCCTGCCGGGCCAGCACCTCATTGTTGAAGGTCTCACAGGGGTGGCTTCTTCCATGATACAAGTCTCCATCCAACCACAGCCCAAACTGGCCACTAAAAAGAAGAGGGAAATCTTGGCATGGCTCAGTCCTGCGTGGTGAGACCTTTAGGATCTACCACCATCATCGACCCCAGACACATTGTGATGGCAGCGTGGTTTTGCCCATGTTTTATCTTAAACCAGTCTATCATGAATTTCGGTTCCCCATAGAGTTTATATCATTTTAAAAAACATTTTAGTGATTTTAATAAATATATACAGTGGTGCAACCATCACCACATCCCAGTGTTAGAACATTTGGAACATTTTTAAGATGGCAATGTTTAATCAAAGGAGTAAGTCTCAAGGGTGTGGACTCAGAGTTTAAAACACTTCAGACAAGATCCATTCCAATCCCCTCATTTGACAGAAAAGCTAGGATCAAGCCAGTAAGTGAATAACTGCAAATCAGCAATCAGCAACAGCTGATGTGTTCTGTACCAAGCTGCCTGTCTGCAGGCTTTCCCAGCAGTTGGGAGAGCAAAGCAGTTCCCTGTTACTAAGCAAGCAGTCCTTTCATCTTCACCCTCAGGGTAAGACATTCTGTTCATTCTGCTTGAACTTAAAGGTCATAGCAGGGGCAAGACCAACTTTTTTTTTTTTTTTTTTTTTTTTTGCCTAAACTGCTCCACTGCCTATACACACGCACACACGCACGCATATGCGTGCACGCACGCCAGCCAGGTTCCTGGGCATATGCCTGCCTTCCTCTGATGAGTTATGTCCCCTAGGAGTACTGGGCTGACTGGTAAATCTGAGGCTTGCCCATCTCTTGACTCTAGTTCCATCCAACCATGTGGAATTGCATTCCCAAAGTTATATAAATTCAGACCAAGCTGCCACCAACTGTGAACACTTTGGTGGGAGAGTTCATGCATCCTTTCTCAGTGTTGGCTTAGAGTGAGTTTGAAGGGGTTGGCTGGGGACCTGGGTGATGATGGAGATGTTGAAGGGAAGGGCCTGAAAGTTAACCACCAGTCTCCCCATTTTGTCTGGGACAGCCTAGCCCGGCAGTTTGAGAGGGAAAGGGACCAGAACACAGACCACCCTAAGACTCAAGAGGACTGAGATACGTACCTGCCACTGCCCATCATCAGTGAATCCAAGTCTCCTTTCACAAAGAAAGAGTTGCTTCCTGTCCACTTAAAGACCTGGAGTGATAGGGAAAGGTTCTGGTTACTAGGCAAGTGAGTCCTGCCCCTGCAATGTGACTCTAAACCACTGGATGGCAGTGTCGTGGAGGGAACAGAGCATCCAGGCCCCAAGTAAGCTGCAGGAAGTACTCTGGGCGCAGAGTTCTTGAGATTCTCTTTTCAGTCTCCTTGGAGTTCACCACCTCATGCCCTCTGGCTTGAATTCCCACAGCCTAGATGCCCCCTAGGAATAGAACAAAAACCTCTCAGGCTTGCTGCTTCCAAAGCTGGAAAAAGGAGAGGAAAAGTCCGGGTCAGGAGTTGGGACTGATACTACCATTAACTAGTTCTTTTATCTTCTCTCACCCAGGTACCTACCACCAAGCTGTCTGCTCTCTATTGCTGCCTCACATGCAGCTCATCAGCAAGTCCCGTGGGCTCTAAAGACATACCCTGACTACCACCATTTTTGTCCTGTGTATCTTCGCTCTCTGCTGCCTGCCCAATCTAAACCACATTCACTCCAGTGTGGATCACAGCCTCCCACCCGGTCCCTCTGCCTCCACTGTCTCTTGCCCACATCCCATCTCCTCACTGCAATCTGAGTGATCCGTTCAAAGTCTAAATCAGATGTTGTCACTCCTTTGCCTGAAGCCCTCTAGTGGCTTCCCCTTGCAATGGGGATAAAATCCAATTGCTTACTATAGCCGAAAGTGCACCTGCTGTGACCCCTGATTTTCTCTCTGATCTCTTCTCCCTTTATTGACTGCACTTCAGTGATACTGGACCCAAAGCTCATTCCTGCTCTAGGACCTACCCACTTGCTGGTCCCTCTGTCCAAAATGCACTTCTCCCACATCCTCGAAGGGCCTACTTCCCATTTTTCAGCCAAAATGTCAACTCAGCGATTTCCTGGGTCACCCTGTCTAAAGTAGCCCTTCCTCCCAGACCCCGTTTTATTTTCCTCAGCATTCACCACTCTTTGAGATAACTCTGTTCAGGTGTCATCGTGCCATTGTCCGCCCCACTAAAATGTATGTTCCTTGAGGCCTGTCTTGATTCCTGGCCATATTCCTGGCACACGGTATAGGTGTCTATTGGGTGAATAAATTATTCAAGAGTCAAATTAGGCAACAAAAGAATATCGAAAAGGCCACAAAAGTGTAGTATACCATTCCCTGTAATTAGTTGCAAAAAGTACTGTGATCAACGAAAGGGTTTTTAGCAAGAAGATTGACTAATAAAAGATAAGTCCTGGCTCAGAAGGGATGAGGTAATATTAACAAGTGATCACAGGTAGACAGAACCATTCAACTCTTCCTTTACTTTCTTCAAGGACATGACCTTCAGACTTGAAGGAGAAAGTTAAACATTGCTACAGAAGAAATTAAGACCAAGTTCATGGTGCTACTTGGCATAGAGGTCAAGGAACGGCTAGAAATTCATGAAGAACACAAGAAGTGCCAGAAGAGCAAAGTAGGCAAGAATTAACCAATTTTTTTTTTTTTTTTTTTGTCTTTTGTCTTTTTCCGTGTCTGGCAACAGATCGCAACCCTCAGTGTTGCCCCCGCACCGGACCGGGGACTGGCCACGGGACCGCAACCCTCGGCGTTGCTCCCGCACCTCGCTCAGCCAGTGAGCGGGAACCGGTCTGTATGTGGGATCCGAACCCTCGGGCGGGAGCGCCGCCGCGCTTCCCAAGCGGCGCACCATCCAGTGTGCCACCGGGCCGGCCCAATAATTAACCAATTTTTGAAAGGGTAGGATTTCATAACTATAGGCTGGGGAGACAGGTAGCGATTCCCTGAAAATCATTTCATTCAACAAGTTTTTTTTTTTAGCACTTATGCACTGGGCACTGTTTTAGGCACTGGGTGGAATGGTGAACAATAGACAAAAGTTTTTGCCTCAGTGGACTCACATTCTAGTGGGATGAGACAGTTAAAGAAACAAAAGAAATAGCATGTTAGATGGTGACAAATGCTAGGGAGAGAAATGACATACAGAGGGCAAGAAAGGTTTCCAGGGGATGGAGTGTTGTCTTTTTAAATCAGATAGTCAGGGAAGTCCTCACTGAGATGGTGACATTAGAACAGAGTCCTCAAGGAGCTGAGAACTGAGCCGTGTGGAGATCCAGTGGAAGGGCACACTAGGCAGAACAGCACGTGCAAAGGCCCTGAGGCAGGAGCAGTCCTGCATGTTTGAGAACCAGCTCAGAGGCCAGTGTGGTTGAAACAGAGTGAGGAAAAGGAAAAGGTAGCAAGAAATGACATCAGAGAGCGACCAGAAAGTGTAAGGACTTGTGGGTCATTGTACGGACTTTAGCTTTTCTCCAAGTGACAAAGGAAGCTGAAGAGCGAAATACTCTGACTCACCTTTTAAAACGGTCACTCCAGCTACTGTGCTGACTGAAGGTGGAAGCAGGAGTACCCACTAGAAGGCTATAGCAGGAACACGCAGAAGTCATGATGGCAGTTGAATCAGGGTGACAGCAAAGGACATGGTTAGAAGCAGTGGATTTGGGGTATAGAGAAAAGGCAGAACTGTCAGGATTCACTGACACTCAAGGAGGACGCCAAGGTTTTTGGTCTCAGCAGCAGCAAAGATGGAGGTGCCACTAACTGAAGGGGAAGACAGCAGGAGGAGTAGATTTTGTGAGGGAAAGCCAGGAACTCAGTTTTTGACGTGTTAAGCTTGAGTTGCCATGTCTGAGTGCCAGGCAGAGATGCTATGTAGTCGTTGGATATTTGTGCTTTTGGAGTCTAGGGAAGAGGCCATCAGCATAGGGATGGCATGGAAAGCTGTGAGAATGGACAAGACCACAAAAGAAATCAGGGGAGGTGCAGAAGAGATGAGAACCAAAAACTGAGCTCTGAAGTAAAAGGTTGGGGAGATGAGGAGGACCCAGCAATAGATTCTGACAAGGAATTGTCAGTGCAGTAGGAGGAAAGGAACTTTAGAATTCTAGTGCGTGAATGCAGGAAGGGAGGTGGCGATGACTAGTATCCAGCACTGGTTCACCATGCATAACTGACCCCTTTGTGTTTCCCGAGAAGACAGACAGAGGCAATGCAATAGATAGGGTTCATTTTGCCTCTAGCAAGGCAGTCCAGTCCGTAGCTCCTTGTAAGCTCCTTGTCAGGAGACCAGATGGGTTGTATAGTTGGATGCATCTGTACGTATCTTAGTCTGGACATTGGAGAAGAGCTCTCTAATAGCAAACCAGAACACCTGGAACAAGTTCTTCATTCATTGAACAAAATGTGAACAAATATTTCTTGAGAGCACACTGTGCCTATGCAGAGGAATATGCTTCACACACTCTGACCTCCTCCACTCATCTTTTTGGGTTTCTAAATGTCCCTTCTCTTTTTTTTTTTTTTTTTTTTGTTTTTTGTCTTTTTCCGTGTCCGGCAACAGATCGCAACCTTCAGTGTTGCCCCCGTACCGGACCAGGGACCGGCAAGGGGATCGCAACCCTTGGCGTTGCTCCCGCGCCTCGCTCAGCCAGTGAGCGGGAACCGGTCCGTACGTGGGATCCGAACCCTCGGGCGGGAGCGCTGCCGCGCTTCCCAAGCGGCGCACTATCCAGTGCACCACCAGGCTGGCTCATGTCCCTTCTCTTCTCTCCAGTTTCTGTGCCTTTGCATATGCTCCAAGAAGATTCCTCCTAGATCCTCCATCACCTGGTGATCTTCTATCTATCCATCAAGATCCAGCTCAAGTAGCTCCTCCTCCAGGAAGTCTCCCTAGATCTCTCCACCTTCATTTGACACAGGTTCTCATCCTCTGTGCCTCTCTCACAGCACTTATTGCTCTATATTGTGACCATCTCTCCTCCCCTAACCTGGGAGCAACCCAAGCCTGGGACCCTCTGCAATTTAGAGAGGTAGTGGAATGCAGTAGTTGAGTTCAGACTCCAGGGCCTGTTTCCACATTTCGTCCTCACTACTGACTAGCCATGTGAGCTTGGGTACATTACTTAACCTCTCTGTGCCTTGGTTTCCTCATCTGTAAAATGGGGGTGATAATAGCACATACCTCATAGGATTGTGATGATTAAATGGGCTGGTTTGTGAAAATCTGAGAACAGCGTCTGGCAGGTGGTAGATTAGTAGCCATTCTCTGCTGTTCTTTTTATTAGTAGTAAAAGTAGTATGCTCTGTGCCCAGCATATGTAATGCTCAGTAGTTTCATTCAAGAAATAACCCAGAGACAGAAAATCTCTAGATGGAAGATGTTTGGGACTATTATTCTCCTTCCTCCTTCAAAAGCCCCAACTCCTTGGCAACTCGAGCCCTCTGACTGTACCAGTCACCTTGTGCCTGGCATTCACCGAACTCCTTGTCACTGCTTGTCATTCATCAGAGACTTGAGCTCTGACTCCACATCCCCCCTCCTTCCCATCTCCCTGGTGAGTGTCACCATCCACATGGACTGCCCACCCTGCCCCTCAGCTCCCTGTCTCTTCACCTCTCGCAGGTTTTCAGCTACTGTCTCCCCTGGTCACATCCGGGAACTTGTCCTCTCCAGGACCGCAGGCAGCTCCTCCCTAGTAATCACATGTCCCTCTCCCTGTCTACCATATCCTGTCTTCCAACACATTGCTCAACTGCTGCCACTGCTCCAAGCCATTGCCTTTAAGGAAACCTCTCATCCATTGAGTTCATCTTCTCTCAGTAGCCCCAAGTCCTCCTCTGGCTTTCCTTCTCTCCTTGTCCAGTCTGGGTTCTGTGGTCCATTTTAAATTTTTTCCCTCAACCTCCTTTCTCTCTCTGCCTCTGTTAAGCCAGGTTGGCAAAACCCCGTCCTGGATGAACCCTCCCATCCCCTTTCTACGTACCTGCAGCTGAGGAGCCGAAGGTCGCTGGAGGAAACCATGCACCCAAGTGCCCAGCTCGCCTTTAAACTCAGCCCCAAACCTCTGATCAACACTGCTGAGCTGTCCTTCTGTTTCTCTAGTTTTCTCTAGTGGGCTTCCCTACCCACACCTGCAATCTATGTGATACCTTCTCTCCCTTCAAGCCTTTGCATGCTTTCCTCCATCCTTGCTCTTAGCTGGTGACCTCACCCCATCATAAGAAGCTACTGGACACATCCTTCTTCGTCTTCCTACCGCCACACCCTCAGGTCTACTTGCACCTGGGCCCATCTTGTCTTTCCAGCCTGTGTTTGGTGAGCAACGTCCTTCCTCCCCTCAGCCAATCAGTGATTGCCAGAGATCTACTGAGCAATTTTTTTTTAATGGGCAGGCCAAGGGAGATGCTCTGCCCACCTCTGCCCTGCTGCATTCCCCCTGTGGAAAGATGGAGGGACACCAAGCAGCCCAGCATGGAGGATGGAGCTGGGGGCCAGTGGGACCTGGGGATCTTTGTCCTGCCATAGACCCCACTCCCCCACATGGAAGGTTGAGAACATCACCTTCAGCTGTGGGGAGAATGAGAAGAGGAATGTCTCGCCAGTACCATAGAATCCTTTGCTGAGTCGTATAGCCGAGGAAGAGAAGGCTCCAAACATCTGGAAAGCAGAAGAACTTGCGGTTTGCCGATAGAAGGGAGTTGGGAGTCCTCTGGCAACCCTCGTTCTTCAGGCGTAGTAGTGTAGGCTCAGCCTAGAGGGGCCTGGGGAGCCTGCAAGGGAGGGGGAGGCCTCCTGGGGCCCGTCAGCCACAGCCTTTCCCTTAACTCTCCCCAAGGAAGAGCTCTTGCCGGCGTCCTCCTCTGGGTTGTCAGGACCTCCTACTTTTTTCTTAAATATACTTATTTTACATAAGTAATCTTCCTAGAAAAGTAGAAGTTATAGACAAGCAGAAAGAAAAATAAATAAATAAAGCCATCCTCAAATCCCCCTTCTTCCTCTCCCGTAACTACACTTTACACTTTGGTGCATTTCCTACCAACATCAGTTTAATGCCAGCATACATACTTTTATTCAAAAACAAGATCCTATATAACGCATCCATTTTGTAAGCTGCTTCCTCATCATTTTTCTTTGTAAATTTCAAACATACAGAAAAGTTAAAAGCACAGTACAGAATCCCTCCACCTAGATTCAGCAATTGTAAACGTGTTGACAAGATTTACATTCTCTTTCTCTTTATATATTTTTCTGACCCATTGAAAGTAAGATGCAGATATTATGATCCTTTACCCCTAAATGGTTCAGCTCCTAAAAATGGGGGCTTCCTCTTACATAACCACAATATCATTATTGCACCTAAGAAAATTAATAGTAATTTCATGATATTATCTAGTAGCCAGTTCATATTCCATTTTCTCCAGTTGTCCCAAGAATGCCTTTCATACCCTGCGTTTAACACTTTTAATAGCTATGGTTCTACATTATGTTTCTTGACTGTCCAATATGTCACTATATGGAAGGACCATAATTTACTCAGCCATTCTTCTCTTGGTGGGATCATTAGGTGGACTGCAGTTTTCCACACCTATAAACAATGCTGAGTGGCAGCGATACAGGCCTACTGGGGGCAGCTACGGGGAAAAGGTTTTTGGCTAAATGTTATGAGAAACTTCTTTATTGTCAGCAGTTTTCTAACATGGAAGAGACTCTGTCTGGAGGGAGTGAATTTTCTGGCCTTCAGGCAGGAAGTCCTTCCATCAGCATTTTGAGGAAAGAGCTCCTATCCAAGTGATATCTGAGATATGTCCCAGATGTAATATGTTACTTTCACAGAAGAATATTTGAAACCAGCTTCCCGTTCCCCCACTTCTGCCTGAAATTCCACCATTAGAGAGGCCAGCTGGTCTTCAGGCATTGCTGTCTCCAGGCTCCTCTTGTTAAAATGCAGGAGCCACCTGTGGCCGCCTCTTAACTGACCTGCTTCCACTCTTACCCCCTCCAATCCATTTTTCTCCACCAGCCAGGGTATGTTTTCAAAACACACACTGATCATTAAGGTGTAGATCCCCTGCTTAAGATACCCCCATATTTTCTTGTATTTCTGAGGATAAAGGTTCAGTTTTACATTTATAGTCAAATGATTATTGTTTAATGTCTAACTTCTCCCCCATTAGACTATTAGCTCCAAGAGTTCTGGGACCATTTTTGTGAGTTCATCCTGCTCTATTCCACGCCTAACTTGGCACATAGAAGGTGCTTAATATACATGTGTTGAATGAATTAATTAGTGAATGAATGAGGGGATGGCTCTGAGATCTCAATGTCACCATCAGTGTCCATTATAGGTGATTTAGTCTAACTCTTCTGGCCTCTCTTCTTTTCCCTGAGGCTGTCCTGGGTCAGCCAACTGGTGTCTGTTTGGGAGCCCCCAGAGCCTGAGGTTGGGGCCCCGCCCAGCTCACCTGCCCATCCTGGTCCCTCAGCACCAGCAGCACCGGTCCACTGTGGCCCTCCATCTGCCGATACAGGCTCCGCAGACTGAAACCGTCCCTCAACGTGCAGAAGACCAGACTCCAGGGATGTCCAGTGACTCTCAGGGGGAGGTGGAGGCTGAGCTGGAGACAGGGTGGAGGTGAGTGAGGGAATCCTCCTCCTCCCATCCTCCTTCCATCATATCCTCGGGGACCCAGGAGGATTGGGGTTAAACAGCTACCACTCATACAAGCCTGGTGCTTTACAGGTTATGGAGTAGTTTACTATTTCCAGGGACTTTCACGCCCACTAGCAATAGCCCTTGGAGACAGGGGTTATTATTCCCATTTTACAGATGAGGAAACAGGCTCAGGGAGGTGGAGCAAGTTGCCCAAAGCCCACATGGGGAGTAAAGGGCAGAGTCAGGATTCAAACGCAGGTCAGGTCTCTCTCAGGAATCTCCCCCAAAGACCAGAGAATAGATGAAATGCTGAAACCCTTCTCTCAATCCCCTCACCTCAGCCTCCCACCCCCAGCCCAGCTTTGGCCTCAGTTTCCAAGGGCTGGTTCTATTTATCAGTTAACTTCTTTCGTTATATCCTTAACCTCCTGGCCTAGTAAAGATGGGCGTGCTAATATTACTGAGTCATTTTACAAGAAAGGAAAAGGAAGCCTGGAGAGAAGCAATGACTTGCCCAAGGTGAGGCAGTGAGCTGGGGACAGAGCAGCAGAGACCCCACATGCCCCTGGGTGTAACTGGTGTAGGGCAGGAGGGTGGGACCCTCAGGGCTGAAATCCCTGAAAAGTGTCCAAACCTGCCTAATCTCCGAGGCACCCAGAACCTGGCTGGCTTCCATCAGCTGCAGCTCCATGGGATCTTCAGGAGCAGAGGCTGGGGCTGGGGCTGCCTCCTCTTCCTCTTCCTCACCCTCCTCCCCAGAAAGGGCATCCTCCACCTGGCTTGGCTGCGAAGACACAAAGAGGCCTGGTGGGTCGAGGGACACTATCTCTGAGCCTGAGAGCCTCATCACCCCCTTCCCAGGATCCTGTGACCCCCAGCCCAGCCCAGGGGAGCTGGGGAATGTCGAAGGCAGACAGGACTCTGTTCCCACCTCCAGCCTGCTTCTTCCCTGGCCCTGCCAGCTGAGGGCACACGGTGCTGCCTGCAGTTTGTCTGCCTGTTTTCTTTGGATCCAGAGTAGGTGCCAGGGATCAAGTTCTAAGCTTGGGAGCAGGAGAGAAGGGCAGGTGGCAGCCCAGCCCTACGACTTGAAATCATGTATATTTGTACATGAAATCATGATAATCACAACAGCAATAATAATGATAATGGTAATGGCTGACATTAATACAGCCCATACTCAACCAGGCCTGTGTTAAGAGCTTGCTGTGCATGGTATCTTTGAATTTTCCTGAGAATCCTAAGAAGAATATGCTTCTAACTTCTCCATCTTACAAAGGAAGAAAATGAAGCCCAGGGGTTTGCCTGTCAGCCAGTGAAATGATGCATGAAGTCACATGTAAGAGTATATGGAGGTTCATGTAAAATATGTTTGTTCACGTGAATTGTGTGTGGGCTTAAAACAGAGTGTGAGAAGGTATTGAGTGTAAATTTATGTGTTTACATATCAATGTGTTTGTGAGTGTGAGTTGGGATTGTGTGAATATATGTGCATGTGTCAGTGGACATGTATGCTGGTTCATTCATTCATTCATTCATTCATTCATTCATTCATTCCTCGAGTTTCTACTATTTACCAGAGTGTATGTTTGAGTGTGGGTGTGTGTGTACACATGTGTGCATGTCTGTACACAATGACTTCGGGGCTTTTCATAGGAAGGTGAGACCTCTTAAAAATTGAGAGATGGCCACTACCCCCTCTCTTGCCCTCCCCTATTCCCCAGACTCAGGCCTGAGGAGGGGGCTCTAGCTGTGTGGGGCCTCTGGACAGAGCTCCATCAGGCACCTACTCCAGGGAGGAAGGGACAGAGACAGTGGTCTGTCCTCCTTGAGTGTCTCAGGACCATGGGGCTGGAGGCTAATGTCCCAGGTTCCTGATTCAATCCTTGATCTAAAGCCAAGGCTCGGCCAGCCCGTGGCTCACTTGGGAGAGTGTGGTGCTGACAACACCAAGGCCATGGGTTCAGACCCCTATATAGGGATGGCTGGTTAGCTCACTTGGGAGAGTGTGGTGCTGACGACACCAAGTCAAGGGTTAAGATCCCCTTACCAGTCATCTTTTAAAATAAGTAAATAAATAAATAAAGCCAAAGCCAGCTGGGAAGGGTCTTGAGAGGGGGACAAACCATCTGCCTGCAGCCCAGGTCCTACCCTGCCAGAGATCTCACCTGCCCCACTTTCTCTACCTAAACCACAGCCCAAGCTGGACCCCTTACCAGCCGAGTGTAACGCCAGCGGAGACCTCTCATTTTCCTGTCCCAGCTCAGCCGTGGGCAGCGAGTGAGTCCTCAGCCTGGCCAGTGGAAGAAGCGCTGATAGGCAAGGCCTAAGATGACAGGGAGAGACCTGGGGCACACCCAGCTGGCTCCACACCCACCCAGCTGCTCTTTGCTCCCTCTCACCTTCACTCCCAGGCCGAATGGCCACTGGGTGGGTCTGTGAGCAACTCGGGCATTCAAGGCCTCACTTGCAGCTAGCAGCTAACACACGTTAGCCACACAGCAAATTCTAGTTGTGATTCCCTTCCACCCACTTTGCCCTTCTGGCAGCCTGGCCTGGGGACTGTGGCCTTTGGGCAGATGCCGAAGGCCCAAGCTGGGGTCTGAGGCCTCTGGTTCCAGAGGATAAGCCCCTTTGTACCCCTGGGCCTCAGTTTCCCCACATGTAACATGTTGGACCAGATCACCTCAGAGACCCTCACAGGACTGACAGCCTGTGATTCAGTTCCCTCTCAAAGCTGGTGAGTAAACTATAGCAGAAGCTTGAAGGGGGCATGCCTAGACCAAAAGGACAGATGTTTAGAAATTTTTTTTCTAAAAATGTAATACATAGTTATTGTAGAAAATTTGGGAAATTTGGAAAAGAATAAAGAAGTATTCAAAATATTTTTAATTCCATCTCTCAGAGATAAATTCTCAATCCCTGGGTATTTTTTCCAGTCTTTTATATTTATTTCATATAGACATATATATACATATATTTGTAAAGGGATCATACCATTTACAAATTTACAAAGTGCTTTTTCCACTTAGCAACAAATGAGAATTTTCCAATGACACTCAGCATCCTTGTTGTTTTTTTCATTATAACTTCCTTTACATATTAGAACAATGTTGTTCCTCGAATAAGAGTTATGACAAAATGAAGCCAAAATATTTGCTATTTATTTTATTCCTTTAAAAAATTAAACAAAACTTATAAATACAAACAATTTACTTAGGTCACACCTTTTGTAACGTTACTATTTCTTCATTCAAAAAATGTTATGACGGAAATATGCAAAAACTGATTAGATTGCTTTGTTCTAATGCCAACCTGTTGTCCTATGCTTTTTTTTTTTTTTTTGACCGGTAAGGGGATCGCAACCCTTGGCTCGGTGTGGTCCGCACCACGCTCAGCCAGTGAACGCACCGGCCATCCCTATATAGGATCTGAACCCGCGGCCTTGGTGCTATCAGCACCGCACTCTCCTGAGTGAGCCACGGGCCCGGCCCTCTATGCCTTTTTTTTAAAGTTTACTTTGTTTACTGCTTTGATGTTTGGATTTCCATCAATTAAATACTCCAAGAAATGTGATTCTCTCCTATTTGGAACACAATGTATGATATGAATCAATTAGAATAAAATAAATATGTTTTCTTTTTTTCTTTTTAAAGAGGTGCTGAAAAAGAGCCTCTAAAACATATATAAAGAGGCTTCTACACACGAAATGTTGCTCAGAGGCAGCAAAAGATGAAAGAAGGGGCATTCGGCATCCTTTTAACACATGATTTTGAATGGCTGCATATTATTTCATCATAGGATGTGCATAATTTATTCCCCCACTGTTGGACATTTTGTTTACTTCTAATTTTCTGTGATTATAAGCAAAACTGTAATGAACCGTGTTTATAAATTTCAAAGTTTCCCGATAAGTGTTTCCAACAAGGTCTCCCAGGTGTTTCAACCTGGTCCAGATAACTTTAGGGAATCTCAGGGTAATATCTGTGGAGTTTTTTTGTTGGTTCGTTTGTTTTGGTGGCTGGCCAGTGTAGGGATCAGAACCCTTGATGTTAGTGTTATAACACCCCACTCTAACCAAAGGCCAGCTCTACATTCCTTCTTATTTTTTAAAAAAATCATTTATTTGTTAATATTATTTTTTTACATTCTAAGATGTAGTAAAGCTTTATACGGCACACACTGAACTAACCAGCCAGCCCTCAGGGTAATATCTTTCTGATCATCAAGCCTTATGCCCTCAAACTACAGACAAGGATGGGCCTGCCCCGTGGCTCACTCGGGAGAGTGTGGTGCTGATAACACCAAGGCCACAGGTTCGGATCCCATATAGGGATGGCCGGTGCGCTCACTGGGTGAGCGTGGTGCTGACAACACCAAGTCAAGGGTTAAGATCCCCTTACCGGTCATCTTTTAAAAAAAAAAAAAAAAAAACTACAGACAAGGAGACTGCTGCCCAGAAAGGAGAGGGAGGGCTGGCTGGTTAGCTCATCTGGTGAGAGTGCAGCCTTATAATCCCAAGGTCCCAGGTTCAGATCCTCATACCAGACAGCTGCAGAAAAATAAGATAAAATTTTAAACACACACACACGAAAAACATTTAAAAAAAGGCGGGGGGGATAATAAGGAACTCACCAGTCACACTACAGTGGAGCACAGTGGTTAGGAGCCCAGGCTCTGGAGTCAGGGAGTTCACATCCTGGTTTTGCCACTTATTTTGCTGTGCAACCTTGAGAAAGTTACTTAACATTTCTATACTTCAGTCTCCTCTGTAAAATACTAACATCTACCTCATATGGCTGCTGTAAGAGTAAGTGAAGATAATGCCTGACAAGCTAGGATGCTAAACCAGGCCTCCATCCTCCATGTCCTCAATTTGGTGAGATAATCCACAGCGCTTGGTGTTTGGTGAGTGCTGGATAAACGATGGCGATTATTACCATCCCCCCACACTGCCTCTTTGAGAGATCCAGGGCTCGAATCCCTGACAAGTGGCCACTCAGCCTCCACCTGGACACCCCTGGGACAAGCAGTCACTCGGTCATGCTCAGGGTGAGGAGTTCAGTGGGGAAGGGAAAGGAGGGAACCATGGAAAAATGTACTCACCGTGCCAAGCCCCTGGGCCCCTGGTGACCTCCTCCAGCCTATCCAGTGAGGGTTTCTTTAGTACGTCTCCCCGATGCCCCAGAGAGGGTGCCCCATCCAGAACCGACCCTGCCCACCTCGTAGTCTGTATGCACGAAGCAGCCTTAGCTGCTGGCCCCCCAGCAGCTGGCTGGCACCTCTGTCCCAGCCCTGGCTCCAGGCCCTCCTGCCTGGCTCTTATACCAGTTTAGAGGCAGCAGGCACTGGCCCTGAGCTTGCTCCAGTTCCAGCTGGGTGGTCCTGGCAGTGAAGTGATTATCGTACATCAGAAACTCAAATCCCACAAATACATACAAATAAGACCTTGTCACCTCTCTGGTCCCCAGCTCTGCCCCCAACAGCCCCAAGGGATGGGGGATACTGGCCTCCTGCCTCTGTGGCTCTTATCTGGAACTTCTCACCACAGGTACCCCCTGGTGCCTGAAGCCCACCATTCAAGACCCCTCCCTTGAATGCTACAGGAAACAGCAATGCTGTGGGGTTGCCCGTCAATCACCCCATGCTGCCAGGGAATCACAGGACTGGGAGGCTCTGCCCTGGCTGGTTTCTCCTCTCTCAGATGGGACAAGGGCTTTCCTCACTGGCCTGTTGGGACATTAGGTGAAGGTGTGCACAGGAAGCCCAATGTTTGATACACAGTAGGCATTCTGTCACTGGGACTTACATCTCTGTCCCTGGCTCACAGTAGGACCTCGATGACTACTGTGTTGTTGAGTTATTCAGCCTCAAAGCTGGAAGGGGCTTCTGGGCCGACCCATGGCTCACTTGGGAGAGTGTGGTGCTGATAACACCAAGGCCATGGGTTTGGATCCCTCTGTAGGGATGGCCGGTTAGCTCACTTGGGAGAGCGTGGTGCTGACAACACCAAGGGTTAAGATCCCCTTAGTGGTCATCTTTTTATTTAAAAAAAAAAAAAAAGCTGGAAGGGGCTTCTGGGCCGACCCGTGGCTCACTTGGGAGAGCGTGGTGCTGACAACACCAAGGGTTAAGATCCCCTTAGTGGTCATCTTTTTATTTAAAAAAAAAAAAAAAAAGCTGGAAGGGGCTTCAGCCAGTCCCAGAGCAAGTGGCCTCCATTCAGGGCAGAAGTTTGCTGGAAAATATGCACTCCAAATGGTCACCCAGCCTCTGCTGGGCGAGTGAGCCTACTATCTCATGGGTGGCTTACTCCATGTTCACCTAGTTAAAAGAGGCCCTGTCCTGCTGGTCTCGGTGGAGAGGACTTGGATCCCCAGATACCATTCCCATGGCCAGGTATCAGGGGGCAATGCTCCCTCCAGGAAGTGTGGGATGCCAAAAGGACTTGTATTGTGGGGAAAACAGATAGGTGAAGGGCTCTGTTGCCACCTCAAACACGGCTGTTGCAATATGTGTTTAAGCTAAAAACAGCTCAGGAGTCACATGCCTGGTGCTTCCTGCCTTTCTCCCACCACCTTCTCCCCTAAGCGCAATACCTGAACCATCAGGCACTTTGAGGAGCCAGTGAGGTTTGCCTTGCTGTCCCATTCTTTGTCCTCACGTCCAGGAAAACTCAGCACATAACCTCAGTATGGAGCACCAGTTGCCCTATAACAGGACCCTAGAAAGTTTCCATGATGGAATTCCAGCACCAGAGCTTGTCTTCTTTTTTCCCGCCAGCCTCCCATCACCTCTTCCAGAACTGCAGTGGTCATTTCCAGGAGACCATGTGTGTCCATCATGAGGGGGAAAGGTGAGGTGACCCATGGACTGTCCACTCAGTAGACTATTTCTAAGTATGAAAAGTGATGTTTGCAAAGAGTTTATAAGCATATGGGGAAATGCTTTTGCTTCCCTGTTAAGTGAAAACAGCAGGATCTAAAATTGTATATGCATGGGCCGGCCCATGGCTCACTCGGGAGAGTGCGGTGCTGATAACACCAAGGCCCCGGGTTCGGATCCCATATAGGGATGGCCGGTTAGCTCGCTGGGTGAGCGTGGTACTGACAACACCAAGTCAAGGGTTAAGATCCCCTTACTGGTCATCTTTTAAAAAATAAAAAAATAAAAAAATAAAAAAAATAAAAATAAAATTGTATATGCAGTATGATTGTAGCTATGCAAAATAAACTTGAAAACGTCAAAGAGAAAATGACCAGAAGGGAACACATCTGGCATTCGCTGGGCTCACTGCCT